AACATTTAAAGGGGATATCAAGTGCATTTAACATTCTCCCTAATGGCGTGGCTATTCGTTATACCGGGTGTAAGTGAAAATTATATATTCTTTCGTCAAAATTACCTTTGCCCCCAAGTACTTTAACCAATCCAGAGCCAAGTATCGTTGATCGGTTAGATTTCGGAAACTGACGATTCTCATCCCAGAATTACTTGTTAATATTCGTGAGTGCATCTTGCCGCTTCTTGCTGGACGGCTCTTACAAGGCACACGGGCCAGCACGGAGACGCAACAGCCATTGCGCAGAGTTGTGGGCACTGAGCACTGCTTTCCGAGAACCGAGGATATCTAGCGAGAGAAACTCTCATATTTCTGAGACACCCTACGCATAGCGTTAACAAGCGATGACTGGAACGCGTAGTATGGTAGAGGCCTGGCTAGACGGTGGCCACTCTACATAATTGCTACCTATTGTACGCGTGCTACCCATGGAGACTGAAGTTTCCCTGCGGGCTACGTAAATATCTTCATTCCGGTACGACTGAAAGACACGCACGTGTCCTTCGTCGATCCACGAGTCGCATCGTCCTCGAGGACTGACGATCGTTCTCCTGAATGAATGGAAGTCCCGCTCAATTTCACTCGGGGCACCGAGACGAGGTAAACATACACCCATCAGCGCGACAGACCTGGTTTCCATGAAAATTGGTGGATACTTGATTCGGTAATTGCTTGTTTACAAGTCGAAATAACCAGCGAGACTCGTGCTTGTTTGTCAGAGCGCGTACAGCGTGCTCTCGAACGTGACGTTGAGAATATCGAACAGAAGCGTGGGCCTGCTGATCATATAATCCTATTGTTATAACGAAGCCGAGTATCGGTGACCTGATTGCAGCTTACGGTGACAAAGGCTAGGAACGAAAAAAGCTGTGGGGAAAAAAAGGTAGAGATGGAACACGGACGATGCCGGAGGGCTGTGAGGTTTTGCTGTATCTCGCTGGTGGCTTATGTCATTACTCATTGACCCGAAGAAATCGTTAACGCGATACACGTGAAAGATATGCATAACCATAAATTGAAAAATAGCTAAGGGTCAGTCGAGTATGGAGAAATAAGGTGAAAGGGAGGCCGATCGAATCGACTCGCAACCGACATAGAAATCCTCGAAATAGGTAGAAGAGGGTACGTAAGTATAGATGAATGGACATAGGTGGGTCCGCGTGGGTGCTCTAGTGCAGTGGGTGGTCCAGGATGGCGTGGGGCTTTGAAGTGGCAGTCTGGCATCGCCGGTAGCATTGGTGCTGACAGAGTGCACCTTGCTGGCAACGGAAGCTACCGGAGGCGCGGACACGGGCGTATAGTGTAGCAAAGCGCCGAGTCACTCGCAGGGTGGTTCTCCGTTGGTAAAAGTATTTCAGGCCGTGCTATACGGCCAAAGGTCGTACTCCACTTGATGGCTGGAGAAGGAGTAAGGCGGTGTAGCGGGGGATGGTTCCGTGTGAAAAAGGTGCATAGCCATGGCCCGTGGTCGGGCCCGCCGGCGTCCCTACTCCGAGATAATGGTTTAAGTAAATGCGCGACATTTTATCTACGACGAAAATTCAATTTGGCCCGCAAAGTGCCGGATCAGGTTTTAATGCTGGTGATATTACACCCCTTTTATATATAGGATGGAGATACCCGGTGCGCCAAAGAAGGCTGACGCCTCTCTGGTAATGTGCTCGTAGTAGGTGCGGCTAGGTACAGTGTCTGGTGTACGTGGCGGGCTGTACGTAAAGGGGACAAAACGAAGAGCGGTTAAGGGAGCGAAGGAGTCTGCGGGGTTCGGGTGTGTGCAAGGGTGGATTCAGGTTTGGTTCGGGTGGCCTGGGGAGGGGCGGAACGGAGCGATAGCTGGCTTCGAGCTGAAATAGAGGAAATATAGGTTAGATTAGGCGAAGACGCATGGCCCACCCTGTCCCGGCTTTGGACGCGAGTTAAATAAAGGCAGCCACCCGAAGATTCATTCCGATCTCCCTCGGCGGAAGCATCGCTACCGGGTTTTACCGTTTAAACCTTCCACGAGGTTCTGGCACGTCGCGACGCCACCGTGAAGAACTGCGATCGCTTTTTCCAGAGTTCGAATCGATCTGGGCTGTCGATACCCGCCGCACCTCCGTGTCCAAGAAGATTCACTGATCCTCCCTTGGAAAAGCGAGAGACAGCCTTTGCCAAGGAAAGAGGGTAGGCACATGCACTCTCGACGTTCCCTTCGGAGGCTTCGCACGGATTTCGCCAATGGGAGAACGTAAACACGTGCGCGTCTTACAGAAAATTGGCGGAGCACGAACGGAACCCGCGTGGCGTACGCGCCTCGAATCGATATCGTGAACGGCGAATATGTTCTGGAGGAAGAAAAAGAGCAATAAGAAATTGAAGAAAGCACATTCCGCCAACCGAGTCTCGCTGACGGGTCGCGGCAGGTGTCAAGAGGAACCGAGCGCGATAAGATCGACCGACACCAAAAATACTTTTGACGAAAATAAGTGGCGGCAATGCGTGAAGGCATTTCGGAAGAGCGCAATGCCTGAGTCCTCGAGAGACGCGCGAGAAGAAATGGCCGCAAATGGTTGAGGGAAAAGAGAGAGAGAGAGGAAGATGAATAAATGAAGAAAAATGAAAGAAATAGGGTACAAGACCTCGGGGCAATATTCACCTTGGTGGAGCCAAGTCCAGCGCACAGTGCGTGAAATTACCTGGTTTGGCCAATGGAGGCGACTAGGTCTCGTCCAGGAACCGTCGTGGGCACTGAGGCAAAAGCGATATAATTTTACTTCCGTCGGACTCGCCCTTCGTCCTCGGGTACTCGGGAAGAATATGTTATGGTGATGATTATTGCTAGCCGACAGTGCTGGATATAGGTAGCCGGCCGAGTGAGGATCGTTCGTTGGCAATTCCATTAAGCTGCAATCGTTTTGCCCATGGTGGCCTGTAATGGGGGTCTCATGGTTCGCGTCTTGCTCTTACGAGGCGTTAAAGACAACGAGCGAATTATCGTAGCCCTGAGCGTAGGACGCGCGAGACAGGTGGATTTCTGGGCAAGGGTGGGAAGGACGGAAAGTGTTAGCGTCGGGCGAAGTGCTCGAGGAAGAGGATGAAGAGCTACGAGAAACGAAGAGAAAGTGAACATGGCACTGATTAGCATAGAAACTACGCCGCGCCATGTTGTACGCGAGAACGCGTTGCGTTTCCTGGCCGTCCGACGTTCCGTGCTCTACGAGGTACACGACGACTGCCAGCTGGGGGCAGGGAGGGCGGAGGTGACGAGGATCGGAACCAGAGGATCAGGTTGAAACTCCAAGTAAGAGAACAGCAGAGCAAAGACAGGAGGCTATGCTGACGCGAATGAAAACAAAGACAAATAGTCATGGCAGTTAGATATGGCTACAATGCCACCCACTAAGTGCGAAGCGGACACTCTGGGCCCGCAAGTACTTGAGATATCGGGCTGGTCCACGAGCCCCGATAACGGGACCTTATTATGATAAATACACGCGAGTTAACAGGAACTCCATTGTAAATGAGGTGGAGGGTCTTCCACCGACCATAGACGCCGCTTTTCAAATATCCGATAATTAAAAGCCTGAATGCTGGTATTGTGAACGAAATGATCGCCGGGATAGTAATAACGCAGTGACGCGCAGCATCGAGAAGCACGCGTACATACGCATGACGCGAACCACCGACGACATTGATCGGGAAATTGCATTGGGACAGGAATGCGTTCGGCAGGACTGATAGCGGCTATGCAATTACGGTAAACAGAGGGGTGGTTAGGTGGGACTTTGAAAAAACATTGATAATTCCTCGTATCGCGAACACAGCCGAGCTCTTGTTTGACGAACAATTGAAAGGCGTTTTCGAGGACTTTTTCACGCTTACGAGAGTCTCTTGTGCCAACGTGTATCAAGATTGTCATTTTTAAACGAGGAATAATAATGATAATAATCGATAATCGGATAGAGGTAACACACCTCGTACGACCGTTATAGCCGCACGTTGATATTTCGAAATGCAGCTATTCGCTGAGTGCTAACCTAACCTATATCGGACACCATTGTTTTTTCTTCCTTGTATATAATGTACGTCCGTTTGACGAGCAGTTTGTGGATCGTAAGAGAGCTTCCATAGACAGTTAGCATTAACTTCAAAAGCCAGTCAGGGATAAACGGCCGAGTCCAGGAGCGAAGATAGAAACCTGTATCGATAGGTAACCACAAGCGAGAACGGAGATGCTCGAATACGATATAGGAAGTGTGAAGCGTAAGGAAAAGCATAAATCTCCATATATCTATTCCCACCTCGGCGATGCTCGCAGTCACGTATGAACGGTTAGGGTTGGCTCTAAAGAGAAAAAAAAAACATTACCGTCAGCAGCACGCGAGAGCACTAAAGCACATCCCTCGCTCTCGGAATAACCTATTTTTGGCTAATTTAGGGGCCACTAGAATGTCAATGATTCCCACGTTCCCATGTAAACTGCCCCCCTTTTCCCTGCGAGTTCAACCGACTGCCCAAGTACCCACCTACCGAGATCCTCCTTTCTTACATTTTTTCTCGTCCCTCACAATATATGCACTTTTTCAGAGGCTCGCGGTATGTCCCCTAGGGGACATCGTGAATGGCCAAAGAACTGCCGTGTGTAACGTAGCGATTTATAACTCGTAGAGCCTAATGCTTTGCGTTCTGTCAGAATTTCAGTCTATTTCGCCTTGGCAATACGGTATAGCGATACGTGTATCTATATGCATTGGACGAGCATCGTACAGCGTTTCAAATATTATTGCAGTTTACAAGCACGGCAGAATACTGTACGTCTCACGCGATGTGGTAGTCACTTTGGAGTTTAACTGCATATAGTTATTGACTGAAGCACCTGAAGTTAGCGCGTCGATGCGATTCCTACAGTAAAACCACCCTTTGGGTAGTGTTGATCTTGAACGACTGTATGCATAGGAAATAGATATGACGATACTCACTTCCAAAACACTACGGAGATTATGGCAGCCATTAGGAGGAGAACGACAGCGCAGGTGATGATCAACGCAGTGCTCTGAAGAGATGGATTCGTATGGTAGGATGCGTCGATCATCTGAAAGATAAAAATAAAATTTCCCATTACGATAAATACCAATAATACGAATTGGCTCGAACAATGATCATCGATCCTAAACCTAAGATTCATGACCTCAACTAAAAAATAGATTTTCGACAATGTGACAAAAAAAAACGTATAAAATGTTGAGTTTTGACAACTGGACGTCCGCGCGAACTCCCGTGGAACTTCCGTCCATCCTCTGGTTCGCGTACAATGAAAATCTCGATACCACTAAAAGATCTCTGTCAGTTGGTTAGCGAAGTGCACGCGCGCGTTTGTTCGTTTGCCGTACAGTGAGTCACAAGGGTTGGTTATTTGCCGTACAACATAAACGCGACATGTGCACACGTTTGCCCAAAGCCGATCTTCCTGCTGTTTCTACTTGGTAATTACTCTCTGGTCTGATGTAATGAAAACGAGCTGGATCGATAATCTTGCTGATTCCCCATACACGCTATGGAGAACCAGTTTTCGCTGCATAGGCAGCATCAACGCGTATATAATACACGTAATAATATGCAGTGACAAATATATGCACACGCAATTAAATTAATATGTATAACCGATAAAATAATGTAACGTTGTATTAGGATCGTTATTGCGTCAGAGATACCAGAATTGAATTGAAATTGTAGCGAACGAGCGAATCGATGATACAGAGGGCAGAAGGGGTATGAATCGAAGGATCCACTTGCAGGCTAATGCCCTTAGTTATGTATTCAAGCTTGGTTCTAGTTACTGCTAGGGTTTAATATTGATAAACTTCCCTCTGAGAGGCTCGAGGGGAGACACGCGAGGGTGCAAAGGTAGATACTAGGCAGATAGGTGGATACTGCGTATATACGTCTGGTGTGGATATTGTGCATCGGGTTGTTTGGCAGGAGTCCAAGGAAAGCAGCATTTATCAAACACTGTGCTAGGAGATGATGCAGAGGAGATCAGTGCTACTCCTACACCACTATTCCAAAGTCCGTGGTCTTCCCCTGCGCTCTCTCGGCTCCCTCCAGCTTCCTCTAACGTTTGCCCTCTCCTCCCCGTCCGAGACTCATCACTCATCATTACGAGGATATTAATGGCGTCCGCTAATGGATTCAGCCGGGACTAGCAGCCAGTAAGAGAATCTTGGCATTTTTTTTATATGCCTCCCCCCTCCCCCCTACCAGAGAGAATTTCGAAAATAAAGCATCGAAGGATGATACGTGCGTTTGCCACGTGGCCAAAGCCGCACCGTTATATTCACCCCGGCACCCTCCCATCGGCATACTCCCTCAGCAACCCTCTGCGCAGAGTAGACCCTTATAAAAAAAAAAAAAAAAAAAAGAATTTTTTAATATTCCTCAAGGCGTATCCCCGAAGCAGCGATATCGACGCGCGCTTTCTAATCGCATACCAAGCGACTGGATTGCAAGTGCGCGAATATCTGCTTCGTTTCCCAGGAGAAAGTACAGAGTCCCCTCATGGTTTTACCATTCAGTGAAATGGAAATCGTAGTTCCGTGTTTGATACGACGTATAGGTATCCCGGGAGTGTCTGCTACGTCGAACAGAGAGATCAGTGTCTGTTCGAGGTAGAGCAGACTGGCATCCACGCGAGAGAGTGCACTCAAAGGGATACGAAGAAAGAGCTATCGTAGGACCTCCCCCCCCCCGCCCCCCCTGTGACGTCGCGTGTCATCCACGTCGGTCCGATAATGATTTTCTCTACTTTATTTTACCCTCTCGACGAGCTCCTATTGCTTTATAACCTGGTACAGGCGTGATCCGTCGTTCGTCTATTCGCGTTCTGGTTTAACTAATGAAATTCTCCAGGTCCCTCGTAATACAGTGTACGCTACGTAGGCAGTATACAGTAACAAGGACGTTAAAGGCTCCTCGCTTAGTCAATAGGTATTACTCGCGTTACGGTTGTTACGTATGCTAGGCTGGTACCAAATCGGTAACCGGTAACACGAGGCCAGATTCAATTAACGGCACAATCGGCAAACACGCGCCGACTAAAATAAATAAGTATAACGACCGGAAAGGGAGGGTCCATTGATTGCTAAAGGGCTCCGCGAGCGGTTTCATCTTTCCCGCGCGTCCGCCGAGCGAGCGGAATGCGCCAACAGGAGCGATCGGATATGCGATACCTGCGTCAGGGATTCATTACGATAGACTGATAGAGGGTGGATGAAACATAACATTAGCCATGCCAAACGTGGGAACAACACTCGAATCGACGTTTCGTGGCAAATCGAGACCGAAGGAGAACAAAGGGAAATAGCCAAAGAATAATGAAGAGGGTAAGGAACGAGGGTAACTCCCAGACGTACCGACGAAGAGAGAACATCTTTAGCTTGTTTCGCATCGTCTTGATTTTCAGCGAATCCATCAATTACACCGCCGTCGTTAATGAAGCTCGAGCAAACAAAGGAGGGACATTACGTTTGGCGCGGTGCAATCAATATCGTAATGCGATCGTGCCGCCATGTATATAGACGCCTGCCATAAAACATTTTATTCGGCCGATTCATTAGCATAAACTACGTGGACAATGGCGGTCTGAATCGAAAATCGTCACGTTGATTTACCAATTCGCGTATCCTATACTCCGTCGAGGGGCTTTAACTCGTCTATCTCTCTTCCTCTCATACTGTCTCTCGCAGGCTTTCCCTCTATCTCTCTCTCTCGCTCTCCCGCCTCTCCCTCGCCTCTCTCGACTCTCCAGCTACGACCCTGGCCGCACGCTAATTACGCATTTGTCCGTGAATTTGCATGCGCTACTCGTGTGAGTTTACGTGCTACATCGTAACGAACGTTACCCAAAGGGTCAGACGGGGTAAACGTAGGCGGCCACGGCAACAAAATGTGTGCGTAAAGCGACGTAAGCGTCGAGGAAAAATTGCCAACTCCACTAAATGCATCGCTTATGTGCTTTACGACGCGGCGAATGGTTCGTTCGGGGTCTACACGCTCGACATAGGGTATACGTAGTTCAAAGCACAAAGAACTCTGGAAAGCGCAGAGTGCCACGAATTTCGGAATTTACGCTCGAAATATGCACACGGCTGTGTCCCGCAAATGGAATGGCAGCCAATGATCGAGTGGGTAGATTGATGTTTCTGGGTTGAAACATCCCTCTCCCCCCTTGCCGCCCGCCCTGCTGCCCTCGCGGCCCTTTCAGTCACTGCGCCGTTTTACGCGCATCAATTGTTGGGGAGCTTGACGCTGCTCGCTTCGCTTCTTGTCGTCTGTTTACAAAAACATATGACGTACGTACACGTGTACACTGCAGGTCCAAGTGTTTCATTGAAGCGCGGTAGGCACTTTTTGAGGACTTACAAGTGTTTTGTTTTACACGTTGGTAACGCTTGTAAGGGTTTAAAAAGTGACTGCTACATAAAGTATAGGGAATAACAAACTTCGCAAAACACTCACATTTGCTGTATGCATTGTAATGGACGTTTAATATACATAGCCTAAAGTCCAGAAAACACTTTTACGTTTTAACGCATTCTAAGCGTCTTTTTGGTTCAGCGAGGTACCGTAGGTCGATAGCGCTACTGGGAGATCTTGAAAGTGAAATCTTAGGTTTGGTCCTTCGGTCCCTAGATACACGTATAGGCTATTATGTCACAGGACTGCTTGACGGTTTATTTATTATGGATAATCCTCGAATTGGATTTCCAGGGAAGGATTCAGTACTTCGCCCTCTACCTAGCCGCGTCTCTGTCTCTTTGCTAGAGTACACCTTAGTTGTCCGTTCTCACTGAGTGGATTAGTAGCACGTTACGTACGGAGTAAGTGAACGTCGATACTGATCAGACGGGTAAGGTAAGGCGTAAGGGCGGGAGGAAGGAGAGGGGCAGGGAGAGATAGATCACGAAAGAGAGCGAAAAAGAAAGAAAATAAGAATGAAAGGTACGGCCCTGTCAATGATCGTGGGAAACCCGTTTTATCCGACGAGTTAGGATTCTCGTTGGAGGAAAGGTCGACCCTTGGCGATTCTGCTCCTTTGTTTATTCCCCGAGGTCGGCCCATGGTTCTTATGTTCCCTAACCCCTGTCCTCTCCTGCCAACCGGGACAGCCTTGTTCGGTGGCCACTACGATTTCCCTTTATTTTCTTATTTTCCACGGGAATGCAAAGTAACCTATAGCTACGTCCAAAAATGTCCTTCCCCCCCAGTTTCCCCTCATCCAGGAAAACGAATCCTTAACCCTATCTTTGTGACTTTACTTTTCCACGTGGCGTGAACGCCAAGGTAATCAAACGCGGTACACAAAAGGTATGCCGCGAACGGGTTCCGGACACCCTGGCGAGTAAAATGACTATAATTTTTATCCTAAAAGGGGGGGGTGCGATACTACGAAGATTTCGTGGAAGAGGGATGACGGGTCTGGCGGTACCTCAGACGCAGGAGGAAGAGAGGCCTGCCGAAGGGAATGGCGAAACGAAGGGTGTTGTCGCTTGCTGTTGATACAGACTAAAAAGAAGCAGGGGGGGGGGCGGAGGGGGTTTAGCACCCGAGTAAAATTCCA